GCTTTCGCCTAATGTCCTTGGGTATTGGTAGTGGTAGTGGTTGCTCCTGTTCCGCCTCCACCCCCTGCCTCTCCCCCTTTGATGGTGATTCTGATGCTGATGATGATGATTTTGTTTTCGCTTGTGGATTATAAACGCTCCTGTGCCCAGACCCAGACCCAAGTCCAGGACCAGGCCGAAGCCCAGTTGCATTCGTATTCGTATTCGACTTCGCAGCGAGCTTTGAGATTCCACTTTTATCCCCCAATGCCCATTCTACGTTGGAAAGGTTTCGGTGTGAGAGTAATGTGGAAAAGGACTTGAAGGAAAACATAGAATATTCTGGGAACATGGAGAGAGTAAAGGCCAGAGTAATACTAGGTAAACTAGGAGCTACTATTGTATTGTTCTATTGAAAAGTCCCAGCTAACCCATCCTTCAGAAGCGTCTTTCCGTGTTCTACCGAACTATTCCAATCAGCCTCTTCGCATCAGCTGCAGCTTCTGAAAGTGGAAAGTGCTTGGACCTGTAGTATTCATTATCGGATTGAAGGAGTGTGGCTGTATCTACATAATGCCACTGCATTTTGCATAGTTCACGTAACTGATTTATTGTTGATGTAGCTTCTGTGTTAATAATCACTCGGGCACAGCACAAGGATACGGAATGTGTCTGGCGCGCATGCAGGCAGGCGGAAGTAGTATTTATTTGATTATGTGTACTTCAGTCGATGCCGAACAAAACAGACCACATCCCAGAGGCCCTAAGCTCCTCACAGGAGAGTCAAATCTGGTCGAGTCGAGTCGAGTCCAATCTGTTGGTGCTACTTACGCAGAAGGTGCCCAAAGGACGTGGCCGCAAGCAGTCATCCATAACGGTAGGGGCAGGAGGAGGATACGCATACCGGCTCATCTCCAGTTGTGGCAGATTCGTGTTCGAATTGTCCGTATTGCAAACATGTAAATCCTTCAAATTTGTAGGTCCCCACGCTCCACACTCGCCACCTCTAGGACCCGGATTCAGTGCGTACCATCAATGGAATAAAATGTTCGAAATGGAAATGGAGTTGACCATACAACCTGGTGACCAGCCAGCCGCCAATTTCTCATTCACTGCGAGAATATACCCAGTAGTTCCGAAACTTAAAAGCCGCTAAGAAACGTTTTAAATTCTTTGACAATTTTCCTGACTAATGATACAATTTTTGAAACATTTAAAAGCGGAACAATAGTGCAAATGGTTGAAAAGAACGAATTTGTATAATTTAGGTGCATTTTCTTTCAGTGCACTTGATGTTGGCTTAACTCAATCAGCATCACCTGCAGCATCTGCTTTAGCTCCTTGGGATGTCCTGGCCTGGTGACGCTCTTGTTTGTGAAGTGTGGCGGGAACGGAACTCTCCTTTTCTCTTGCTGCTGCTGCTTCCTCTTCTTATAATCCCAAATGTTCGAAACTGTTGTCTCTTCTTGCTCTTGTCATTTATTCGAATTTGTATCCCGTCTGTATCCATATCTGAGTCCGGCAACATGGTGTCTGTGCCACCCATATGTTGGACCTGAGCTTAGGCTGGGACTGGGACTGGGGTGGGTGGGCAGCATGTGTATGCAGTTGCAGATGGACTGGACTGGGCTCAATCCAGTATCCAATGAGTGCCCCAGAGTGAGTGTAGGACTGGACTGGACACTCTGCATAACGCTTAACACTTAAGCTGCCACCTCGCAGCCCACACAACCAACCTCATCCAGACAGGGGACCGCTTGGCGATATCTATCAGTCCAAGAGTAAGCCAGTCCCCAGAGGACTCAGAGTCCGAGTACGAGTACGAGTCCGAATCGTAGCTAGTTTTGCGTGTGATTGCGAAACTTGTACCACAACCTGTTAAGCCGAGCTATACTCTCCGTTGTCTCTCTGTCTCTCTATCTCTTATCCTTCAGCAGGAGCAATGCAATGCTTTTGTGTCGCTTGATTACCAAAAACTCTACCCCCCTTCCCTTGCTGTGGCAAAGTGTTGAGTGAGTGGAGCCTTGAAAAGTTACTGCGTCCATCAGGGCTTATCAGAGATACTTTGGGTGGCAAGCTCCTGCCCCTGCCCTTGCCCCTGCCCTTGCCCCTGCCCTTGCCCGTGCCCCTATCCTCTTATTATACAATCCTTCAGCTCGGTTGGCGCGGCGCCCTTTAGAACTGTCCCCATTGACATCTGCATAATGTCGGATCGCAGGGGATGCACATTTTTTGAATCCTTGAGCGTGTGCTTATGTCCGTATGGGTGCCATGGCCTATGGCTTATGGCACATGCACAGGCTACTGCTCTGCTCTGCTCTACTTTCAGTGACCAAAACGAAAGCTTTGACCAAACAACAATGATTCAATAGCCAGGGACAGAAGCCGATGGGGCCTGAGAGGCTGAGGCTGTGGCTGAGGCAGAGGCTGCAGCCGCGGCTGTATGGCAGCAGTACAGGCATACAGGCCTCTTTCGAACGCGTTGATCCACAAACGTGTCGTTAACTAAGGCGCAGTGATTTTCAATTGCAGAGCGCGACAGAGTCTGACACAGACGCAAAAACAGGCCCAGAGACAGGGCCGATACGTGTGTGTGTCTGTGTGCATAAGCTTATAGGTGCCAACTGGAAACTGCCAGAGGAGGGAATACAGGCGGTGGCTAGAGGGGGGTATAGGGGGGGTATGGGGGCAGCCTGCATATTGACAAGTGCAGCCGCTTGGGGATTTATTAAGGCTAACGTATGAAAATTTTGCATACTAAACTCTGCATAAATCGAAGCGAGACCGAAAAAGCAACAGCATCAGAATCGGAATCAGAATTGGAACCGGAATCAAATGCAGGAACATAAAAATAGCCCCCAAAAATGGTGGACAGAATGGCGGAGGTGGGGAGGTGAGGCTGGATAAATATCGTGTTGCGTCGCTGAGCAGCTTAGGCGCCATGAACACGCACACACACTCAGATAAAAAAGACACACAGATATAGATGCAGATGCAGATACAGATAGAAATACAGACACAATCGTAGTATAAACAAAACACAGTGCAGCGAGCGACACAGCAGATTTACATATGAACTAATACACACAAACAGACAGATACACACGCATACCATTGTGCATCTGTTGCAAATGGCCATGTTAAATGACAATAATAACAGCAACGACAATAGCAAATGATGGCAGAAACCATTCCCCCAACCCAAACCCCAAACCGAGGCCCCACCGCCCAATCCATAAACCCAATTCTGCAGCCATTCAATCTCCATCTCATGGTATACCGCCTTCCCATCCCACCCCACCCCACCCCACGCACTGCAACGTTTTGTTGTGCAAATCCTCAAAATATGCTACAAAGCACATTACATAGATACGCTAAAGCACACACGCACACACACACACACGCAGAGGGAGACATTCACAAATTCACAACAAAATTCAAATCCAACGCACCGAACTAACTGAACGGGGCATGCTCCACTCCCCTTTTCCAGTGGGTGAGCGGTGAGAGGGTTAAGCTTAAGTCTGAATTTTAGCTGTGCGCCATGTGGATGTGGAAGTGGCATAGAAAATGATGTCAGGCAAGGGAGGCTTCGGCTTAAAATATTAACATTTAAGCGCAGCAGAGAGCTGTAATAATGACAGCAATCGATTGGAGCAGCGATTTTACTGACATTTATCGATTCATTTATCGCCTGTGTCACGTCACCCCCTTTTCACCCTTTTTCTGCGGAATGCGAACCATCAATTGTTGTGTTGCTTCTACAATTAAGTGAGGCAGAAGCCATAAATTGACCCAAACATCAACCAAGTTGAGTGCCACCTGTTGAACACATACGGTGCACGTGTACTCCCACAAAAACACTCGCACACTGCTCCTCATAGATGCACAAAAGGAGCAGAGGACAGCCGCACGTTATGTATACGTCACGAGTGCCCGAGTTGGAACTAGAAATATACGGAGCCAAGCCAAACAGAACCAAGGAACTGAGCCATGGAAAAGAACTTCCTCCAGATCGCACCCACCACCTCACCCACAAAAGCTCCACAAGTGTGTATGCGGTTCATTTAATGCCCCAGCAGAGTGACCTCCGACCCACACCTCTCCAGGGCAGTAGGAAATGTTTGCATGCACACATGCTCGTATACGTATCCAGCTATAGACAGAGATACAAACAGAGAGAGAGAGATAGACACGCACACACACTCGCTCACTTACCCACACACAGAGGGAGAGAGATAGAGAGAGAAAATAAACGTTATGAATGCTTCATATGCTTAATCCAGGGGATTTCGATGCATGTAGGAGTGTTGTGTGTCTTCTGTTGAATGGGATTGAGCATCGTCGAGTTAATGGGGGGGGGGGGCGGGGGAGTGAGAGTGGTTCGTTCGTGTGGGCACTCGCATGCTGTGTTGGTATGCAGAAGGCTTCATAGTTGCTATTGCTATTTCTATCTGGGAGATACTTGCCTTGCATAAGCATCTGCATAGCGACAACTGCACGGGACACATCGATATGGACACAGGTTTACTTTTGTCCCTGGTTAAACTATTGATGAACCAAACAAGATTACCATTGCCATAGCTCAAAGGAGAGCGGCCATGTGTATGGGCTTCAAACGTCCGTTCGTGTCTGCCATGTGTGTGATAGTGTGTGTGCGATATCTGAAGGATACGTGCTAAATTCCCGGCGAGCAAATCAAATGAACTTGCCATGGATTAGGCAGGCGACGTGGATGCGAAAGGAATTTCATTTCTATCTCTATTTACAATTTCCATCTGCTGCTGACGTGATTAAAGTTTCCCTCTGCTTGGGACCCAGCCTTTGACTAATTTCTATGCAAATAATCACGCAACGCACCGGATTATGAGGAGAAGTAAAGTAAATTCCTGCATTTATGCTGCTGCCTCCCCCTTCTGCTCCCTATGGATCCCTATGGATGCCGGGATGACTGGACGCCCCCTGGGCCAGTGAGTGATTTATTGATTAAATTGAAGTAATTGGAAAGCTCCTTTACTCACGATTTACTTTGCTGATGTCGAAGTCCCGTCGCGAGTCCAGGGCCGGATGGCTGAGTAGCTTCTCCGCTTGCTGCTGGGCCTGTTGTACGCCCACGGTCATGCCCAGGGCGGCTGGAGGCAGACACGAAATGCTGCCCCGCTCCACGCGCTCCTCCCTCTCGCGATCCCTCTCACTCTTTGGGGTGGCATTCTGACTAGATGATGCCGTGGACGAGGACAGGGCATTGCCATCGGAATTGTGCACGTGCTGCTGGTGCTGCAGTTGCTGCTGCTGGGCGGGATGTATGGTTGAGGGACTGCCCTCGGCGGAGCGTCGGCCACCCCCTTCCACTGTCACGCCTCCGCCCTGCTGATGCTGCTGCTGTTGGAGCTGTTGCTGCTGCTGCTGCTGCTGCTGGAGCTGGTGATGATGATGTTGCTGCTGCTGCTGCTGTTGCTGCTGATGGTGTTGCATCTGCAGCTGGGTGAGCTTCTCCTGTACGCCCTGCAACGAGCTGCGTCTATGCTGCATGGCAGTCACCTCCTCGCCGGGCACGCCCACCACGCTGTGGGGAGGCGAGAGCGAGTGCTCCTTCTTAACGGCCATGTCCACTAGACTGGCGGCGGCGGAGACAGAGGCCGAAGGGGACTTGGCATTGGCGGCGGCCACAACGGCGGCCGCATTGGCTGCCCGCGTCAAAGCCAAGGCCTGACTCTGAAAGAGAAGAGAATAGGAGATAATGAATAACCCGCCGATTGTCTGGAGTGATGCGAGTACACGTATTTGTCGCTTGTTTACTTAGCTAAATGCTCGAGTGAAATCTCCACTTCGGTCTCCATTCTTCAATCCCTCCATTCTTCGGTCTCGAAATAGAAAACAACCCAAATTCGCTTTATTGATTAAGTCAACAATGGCCAATGGCCAAGGGCCAAGGCCTCGGACTCGGACTCTGAATCGGACAAAGTCTAAGATTCAGTCTCGGATTCAGTTTCAGTCGCAGTCCGAGCCCTGACAGGCGTTGATTTCTATTGATTTGTGAGCCAAAAGGGGACCCAGACCCAGACCCAGATGTGCGTGTGGGGGTCTGCTGTGTGTGTTTGCTTTCTATAATTTAGCAAGTAATTTGCTGCACAAATCGTGGCGAATCACGAAATTGTCTTTAATGATGCGGACGGAGATCTCCGACTCCGACTCGAGATCGTTGTCGAAGCGTAACTAAATTAATGTGGCTCTCTTCTCCAGTCCATTAAAGAGCTGAAAGCTCTTTCACAATACACATTCCCATTCCCACTCCGCCTGCCAATGCCAAGCAGCAATTGATGGACCCCCGCCACAGAAGACCCAAAGGCGACCCGAAGCGAAATTAGCGATGGCATTTCCAATAAGATTGGATCGACTCCAATGGTACATACTCGCATGCGCTACGAACTGGCAGCTCCCTAGATGTTTACATTTTGAATAATTATATAGTAAGTTAATTGTGAAATCTGGCATTTATTCTTCGTCTGATGGATGCTAATCTTAGCACTTTAAACACACAAAATACGAGTACAGGACACTATCAACCAGAACTCTTATTCTATTTTTACTTTTAGTGAAACTGGATTTCGAAACCTTGGAAGGATATTTTCGATCAGACACCTTTGGAGCAGCTCCTGCCTGAAGAGATCTACCTTTTGGGTGCTGCTTCCTTCATCCGCATCCATCTCATCCATACATCATACATCATCCGATTGCCCCCAATAATTATAGCGTCTCGCTGGGGCTACCGTTTTTACCGTTTATGCTGGCTGAGCACGCATGGAATTCCAGCCGAATCCAAAGGAATCTTTATTCCCTCTCCTCACTTTTTTTCTGTTGCTGGACACAAAAAATTATGGCATTGGCATTCGCTTTGGTTTTGCTTTTTGGTTTTGGCGCTGATCGTGCGGATAAACTTAAATCGGTGCCGAAGGTAGAGCCTAAGATCGAGAGCTGTGCCGCTGGCTAGTTGTCAAATGAGGGCAAACCATGGACAAAAACCAGAAGGAAGAAAGATCCTGAGCCCGAAAACATGTTCAGAAAATAAAGGCTGCCTCCAGTCGGTGGCAGTGGCGGGGCAAGAAGTCGTTTCGGATGGGGTAGATGTGGCAGCGGCGTCTCTCTGCTTTCCACAGTAGCCGCATCGAGTTAGCGATCAGCGACAAGCAGCAATCGATCTTATGTTATAATCATCGCCAGGCCGGGACCAGCCCCCTCCACCAACCTCTCGCGACTATCAGCAACGATTTAGGCCTGCAAAAATTCATTTACGCTTTAATCAATTTCATTCACCACAGCCACGGCCGCTGACGAAGGCGAAACGAACAGAGTAGAGACACGATGGAGATGGACCCGCAGACAGAGCCAAGCATCGCCTAAGGCCGCCGTCCGCCAATTTCAGCTTACATTGATCTCGCCTTCTCCCTGTGTCTCTACAGCGACGGACGGGACCAGATCGGGCTGGACCAGGCTGGTCCCGGCCGGGCCGTGCCGGCTTCTGTTCCCGGCCACATGTCAAAAAATTGACGAAAATTCGATCAAAATTTTAATTGATCGCCCTGCAGTGATTTGGGTTTCCGAAAAATTGATCTGCCCCTGTGCCTCTTTAGCCCCGTCCCCCTTCTCCACCCTTTCGTCGCGCGCGTACTTGCCGTAATTTTTGGTTGCTCCACGAATCGAACGATCGGCGGACGAGCGACTCGTGTTGTGATTATGTTAATAGAGGTACTCCCCTCTGCTACTCAGCACAGCCCCCCTCCAGGGGGCAGCCTGCCCGTTTCCGCATCCCGCCCTAGGGGGAGGACGGCGCTCACTTCGGCCGGAAACTGAATGGCCGGCGGCCGCGAATTCTGAAACAATCAAACATATCAGACTTTGCCACAAAAGGCATGGCATTAATGGCAGGAGAAAATGATCCTCTATGGAACCTGAGTTCCAGCAATCATGCTGCGAAGTCTTTTCTCCTGAATGAGTCATCATTCAGATAGAGAGAGAGAGAGAGCAAACAGGATCATCATTCAAGTGTTTTTAGAACCTCTCTTCTAGAGATCTCTCGTTGACTGATCTTTCTCTGTCGTGGCAGAACTTCCGATATCTCGCGAGCAAAATAACCTTCAATTAATCCATCCCCAATCACACTTTACCATTCCCCGGCTGAATTTTAATGGCGATCAGTACATTAATCAACTCGGATCGCTCTCAGATCCGCCAGCCCATCCGATCATCCTCCCTGAATGCTGCCAATCAAGGTCCCCTCCCCATCGACTCGTAGATTTTAATATTAACCTGTCAAAGGCCATAATTGACAACGATTAACTTTGTCTTTTGTCTCGCGGAAAATTTACATTTTTATGGTTCAATAAAATAAATCAAGGGGCGCACAAAAAACAACGAGACGAGACGAGACGAGGCAGAGGAACGAACCAAAGAAAACGAGGAAAAGAAACCCCGAGCACAGTGGCAGCGAAAAGTAATTGCAGCACATAATAATCTCGCATTTAATAATCCTCATTAAAGCACAAAATCACGTCGGTACATTGTTGGACCTGGAGTGGGTCGGGTACCAGATCCAGGCCGGAGAAGAGCCGGCTGGAGGACCGGGGGACAGTTTACACTCACAAATATCACCACCTCACGCAAGAGAAGAGAAGGGTGTGGAGCGGACCCTGCAGAAGATGGTCTCCCGAAGCCACTCTCGAATCTGGGAGCGAAATTAGAGGCCATGCGGCCCTGCATTGGAGCACATCCTTCGGTGTTTCCCTTCTCTGCTCAGTATTTTTTCAGTTCGAAATTCCAGAACAAGAGCTTCTGTTTACCAAAAGTCAGTCCCGAAATATGCACAGGCCTCCCAAAAAAGCAAGGCAGAGGAGTCGGGGCAGCTGCGATGCGCATCAATCGATGATATGATGAGCTGACGTTTCGGGTTGACGTTTGCTTGTCGTCAATACGTCGCCTAATAACACGTCGCAACAGGTAGTCCCCGAACATCAAGCGAGAGGACAGACCAATGGACAGACGGACTGCGATTCTGGATCGACGGACAGACTGAGATTCTGATTGCGACACAGATACAGATGCACACAGCAGCCACTGCTACTGCCACTGCCACAGCCGCTGCAGACCCAGAAAGGCTCTTTTTGGGGGCTCGATGGAATTTCATCAATTGCATGAAAAATATGAAATTAGTTTGGGCCCCAAAAGCGACTGGCCGACCAAAAACTGGCAGTTTCTTTCGGGACTTTCGGGGCTACTGGATTTTTAATGTGTTTTAATCATCGACAGCAGCTACTGCCTCTGTTAGTGCTCCTTCTGTGCTCCTCCTGTCCTCCTCTCCCCCTGCCTGCTCAAATTGTTTTTGTGCGACGGAGTATCTCTGATCCTTTGGCTTTTGCTGAGGCTGATGTATGGCACATTCCATTTGGGCTATAAATCGTTGTTGCGCCTGGCACCATGGCGCTGTCTTGTCCTTGGTAAAATATCATTTGATTCCAGTCGCAGGCATTAATTGTTTTTGCCTCGCGAGTGCTGCGTGATGGGAATGACTGATCAACTGCCAGACGGATCGTCGAACGGATTGGATCGGTGAGAATCAAATCTGTGTTAGCCCAGATCCTGAGGCTTGTCTTGGGGGCATGGCACAGCAATGGATAAGCTAATCGCGTCTTCTCTTGGTTCCACAATGTGATCTCCTACAGTCGCCTGTCACTGACAGGCCTTGTTCTCTGTCATGTTCTCTGTCAGTTTGTGTGCCCTAAAACATTCTGTAAGTGTTGATCAGTTGAGCAGCGATCTTTGGCATGCGATCTTAATCGCTCTCACGGACTGAGAGCTGAGTAACCAAGAGCCCCGACCAGACCACAGCACAGCAGACCAGACCGGCATTGACATTCCACTCTGTCTGGGATTATTTCCGAGTTGTCTCTGTCTTGTTCGAGATTTTTCTTCTTTTTTGCTTATCGGGAGGAGCCAGCCTCGACCTGGTCGCAGCTCCCGCAAAGACATTACCATTTCCATTGGCCAATGCTTGGGTTTTTTTTCTTAACGTATGATTGGTGTTTGGCAGCGTTTTTATGGTCTTTCAACAGGGCTGGACCCGGCCCCGGCCCCTGTTATTAATTATCATCGTCAGCGGGAGGCGATCATCGTCAGCGTCATCGTCATCACATCGTCTCCGGTCTCCGGTCTCTAGTCTCCGTGTTCGTCA